ACTTCCCCCAGTAATTCACTTCCCCCACAGGTTTAATGCCGAAGCATAACATTCGGGAGGGTAAAACCTGAAAGCAGAAATCTAATGTGCATAATTACTTTGATAGATGAGAGGGAGCGGAAAGCAGCCGCCTCGCACGCGCTGCCCGTCCTCCCGCACTGCTGCTGCCCTCGGCCTGGGGCCACCAAAGCCCCAGCTCCGCTCTGCCCCGAGCTCGACAGGACGGCAGCCCTCGGGCACAGGATCACCTGCCTCCCGCATTAGCTGTCGCCCCAGTCTCCAGCAGAGGTAAGTTTAGGCAGCAGTTTGTGAGCTGTCATATCTTTTTCTAAATTTCTGTCCTGGTTAATTATAGGACTGGACATTTTTGACAGCCATGGAAATGGCCAGTTCCTGTTAGCACCCTGCCCAGCCTCTGGAATAGGCTGTGACAGTGAGTCCTAAAGCCTTGTACATGCTGCATAAATGCTTATTGCCTTGCCTGGGTTTTGAAAAAGCTCTATTTCAATGTTGCTGAGAAGGCCCTCATATTCTGATGAAGAAATGCCCTTGGTCTTCAAGTATTACCTAGGAAATCCTGCCAAAGACCTGTTAGGGAAACGTAGCCTTGACAGGCAAGCCATGTCCAAAACAGCTTGAAGGCTGTCAGTGTCTTGTACTCATCTCCCAAACTCCTGGCTTTGCTTTTTGAGGACCTGGTGTTAAGGACTGAGTATTACAGCAAAGTTTTTAGAGCAATTTTACCCCAAGTTCAAGATTCCCAGTGAACTACCCATCCTTTATATCCATCCTGATCTCTGCTGAGGTTCACGCCAGCACTACCCTCTACCTGCCCCACTCTGTATCCTTGAAACCTTGAATGTTATGTGAAGACACAGGGATGGCTTCACAAGAAAAGGAGAGAGAAAAAAAAGATATCCCAAGAGAACAGGATGAGACCTAATCAACTCGCATCACTGCTGACCTCAGCCAGCTTTTCCAGGTCCTTCTCTGCAGGGCTTCGTGGCTGTCCCAAGTGGGGTTTGTTTCAGAGCACCCCATGCTGCTTCCCCTGTGAACTGCTGAGAACAGGAACGGGCCCCACGCACAGAAACCCTGGGGAACACCACAGAAACCCCTGCTGAAGAGGGGCATCCCCCCAACACAACCACTCCGACCCCTGAGCCACCCACCCACTTCCCTGGCAGGGATGGATGCCACAGGGAGCAGCTTTCCCTGCTCTAACAAGCTGCATTCGGGAGCAAAAGCATTTTTCCTCAGTAGGGTTTTCAGAGAGCAGGGAAACGCATAGCCCGTGAGTCCACCTGCCTTTCCTGGCTTTGTTTGCATCCAGTTTCCACATGTTGAGGCTTTTTGTTGCTTGGAGCCAGCCAGGAGCAAGAGATAACAGCTTCCCATCACACGAGAGCGGTGCAGTTCTGAACAGTTCACACTGGATCATCATATACATAACTGGGGCTCTGCTCAGAGAACGGTGATACCTACCTGGAACTTCTGCAGACAAGGGGAGATCAGCTGGAGAAGATACTTGGTAGGGGGAGTAGAGGAAACCTGTATCCATAAAGCTCAAAAGTGGTTTTATTAGGACTTGTTATTTCTCCTTTGCCAGAGGGAAGTGCTAGCATCCAATTTGTCACAAAGAAAAACTTCATCTCTCTCTTCTGACATAGTGGCCTAGGCAATAACTTAGATGCAGGAGTTTCAGACTGCAATTTAGCCTTCCATTCATTTCTGCTTCTTGAGGCTTTTAGCAATGGCAGCCAGACTGCATTGCACCACAAAGAGGTCATCTAGGTACGTCTCCTTAGAGGGAGAAATCATCCAGCTGCTGTGAATTGCCCTCATCAGTGGAAGTGCTCTGTATTGAAAAAGTTTCAAGAACAGAAAGTGTCTGCAGTCTGACCATCAGTGCTCTCCCAGCTCCTCCCCAGCTTGTACTGTTTGGGGAAGATGACCCTTGGTTGTCCTGCTACTTGCAGCACTTACCTTATGCAGGGCTTCCTACATGAGCTCCCTGCTGCGCTTCTCCAACGGAGGAGTCCCAGGCCCTTTGCACCACACATCTCTGCACACACTTCCAGGGAAGGGTCTCCAGTTGTTCTCACTGTACCTGTCACTAGGGACTCGCAGAAAACTTGATGCCTTCCAGGCTACCAGGAAGGCACCAGGTTGCTTCAGGTTCTCATGTAGATATCCCATGTGGGGAGGTCTTTACCAAGGTGAGAAACACACGTCAGGCTTTGGGCACAAAAAAGTAGAGGAGCTAGTGCCCAGATAAAGGAGTAGTGCCCAGTGATATCTCCACTTATCTCCAGATAAAGGAGCTAGTGCCCAGATAAAGACCTAGACGATGAATACTCACACAATTCACTCTCACATTTGCATGGTAGTTTTGTATTTTGTGCTCAATGCAACTGAAATCCAAACCACAATGCCCTACTGTGCGACCTCTGGGAGCAGAGAAGAAAGGAGGAGTTGCAAAACCATCCTTTCCCCAGAAGACCTGCACAACATCCTTCAGCCTTCCCTCTTAGACACCAAGGTGAGGGGCAGCAGGCCAAAAGAATCAAAAAATGAGCAAAAGCACCTGAGTCAGAGGGTCCAAGATCGTTTGCAGTGACCAAATGAAGGTTTGCAAATAAACAAACAGCAGGGAGGGAAAAAAGGCACTGCTCGTACACCTGCTGGAAGTAGAAAATCCTATTTTAGGTGTTGAAAAAACAGCTATTGCAACTTCCAGAGAAGACCAAGTTCCTTACAAACCTACTACCTTTAAAAACAGGGCTATGAGTCTGAGGGAAAAATAAAGAACATAGAAAGGCTGTTGATTCTGGCCTGTCCATCACTGGAGAGCGCTACCCATGTGCAGCACAGACAGTGCCCACAGGCTTGCTGCCTGAGCAAACCACAGAATAAGAACTGTCTGGGTTTGAAGACCAGACAGCCTTTCTCTCTTCTGTGCTCCTAGTTCTGAAGACAAATAACTACCATTCAAATAGCATTTTACATGCTTTGAAAATTTGACTCCAGCAACACAGCCCCTGTCTGTGGTAAGGGGAATGTGGTAAAGACCTGGGCAAGGGGCTTGCCCATGGCCTGTGGCCACAGAGCTCTGCCTGGAGGCTCAAAGCTGCAGCCTGGAACAGCAGGGCCAAGAAAAGCCTCTCCAAAGCTGCCGTCCCCATGGCCCTGAGCCTGCTGGGGACACGAGAGTCACAGTGCTGACAGCAGGTCCTCACCTCTCCCCTCTGCAGGAGCTTCCAGCCTCAGAGAAGCCAAGAGTCTCCCTTCAACAGTGCTGGTCCCAGACAACAGCCAAGAAAATGTGTAGTTTTGCAGGCACGTACCCTACTCTGCATTTATTTCCTCTTTGCAAATGCTCTTTCAGTGCAGGCACAGCCTCCTTGACAGGTCTGCAAGGACATTTCAAGAAACCAAGTTTTGTTTTGTTTGTAATTTATTGCAAGCCTGCAGCTCCTAAACTGCCCAGCATTAGGAAAGAGAAGGCTGCTGTGCTACCCCTCACCCCAATGGTTGTGGAGTGATTAAGGACAGCTTTAATTTGAGGCCTGCAGCTCAACAGCTCCCAAAGGATTGATAAAATATATATAGCAATCTCCAGTTCCACCTCTGGAGGCTGAACTCTCTCCAGATGATTAACGACAGCTATTTTCTCCATCTCTCTCCCTGCCACTGAGGAAGGCTGATTCTCTGCAAGGTCCTATCAGCGCTGGCCCACACTCTGACTAGCAAACAGCAACATTTACAATCAGAAAAACGCTGCAAGAAATTGAGCCAGCTCCAAGGAGGCGAGGCAGCACCACACAATGAAAGGACAGCTCTTTTAATAAATAAATTGGGGTAAACGAGGTCAGGCTCCTGCAGCAAGCCCTGCTGGGCTGCGTTAGCAGCACCGGCATAAAACAGCGGGAACAGAAGTGGGAATTCCTCCGTGCAGCTTTCGTGCCTGTCCCCAGGAAGCAGCAAGGCTGAGAGCAGCCTTGCCAATGCAAGTAAAAATTAGCCTCTCAGCACAAAAACAGGAGGTTTTCCTCCTCTCTGCTCATTGCTAGAACTTCAGGCTGAACGGGATTGCAGCACTTGTGGGAAAACAACACTCTTTAATATAAAAGAAAGAGCTACATGAGGATTAGACAACAGCTGTGTCCTCCATGACCACTACTTATCAGGGACTCTTGGGCCAAAGGCAGCACAACAGTTTAAATCTAATTTTCAAAACACACAGGGGGCTGAACAACAAGGCTGGGACGCAGAGCTGTGCAGAACCTGCAGAAACACCAACCAGCTCTGCAGCAACCTGCCTTCCCCAGCCTCGCCGGCCCTCATGTGCTGCCGAGGTCTCCACGGGGCTGGCTCTGTGGTATCTGGTTAATGGGAAAAGCTTTCAGCTGTGGGCAAACATGTTACTGTTGGAGAAGCTGAAGGGCTCCAAGGATACGCAGAGGGAGCCCAGCTACGGACACAATCCTGAAGGCATCAGGGTATGGCCGGAAAATACTCATTAGGCTGACCAGCAAGAGTTAATCCTTGGAAAAACAATCGAGTGCTGCTCTACTGCACGCTGCAATGTGTATTTCCTCCCAAGAGAGGTCACAAAAACTAGAGTCTTGGGGGTTGGGATGGTGCCTAAAATCCAGAAATTCTTCAACGTGGTCCCTTGCCAGACCTCCTGGCACAGCTAGCTGGTGGCAAGCCTCCCTCTTACACCTAGGAGGACTTGTTCCCACCTGGGAACACAGGAAACTCTCCAGTGCTGCTCTTTACTTAAAGAGCAGGTGCCAGGGACACAAGCATTACTTGTTATTTAAAAGAAATTGTTTGAGCTCTAGACTATGATAGGAATCTGGCGAGGACAGACAGCTTCTTGGGTACCACAGCCCCAGGGAACAGCCCACTTGGGAGAGGAAAAGGAAGTCACAACACGCACTTCCAGAGGAGGTGGAAGATTCAACATAAGCAAAGAACTCTCCAAGGAGAGCTTCACTTAGGAGTATAAATTTTAATATTTATTTAGTACAGGCCTGGGGAAGAGAACTGGGAAATAAGGCAAAGGCAGATTATCCTCCAGAGCCCAATTCAATATCTCATACACACAGAGCATGGGAAGCAGCAGCTGTGTTCCTCCCCAGAGTCATGTTCTACATCTTCCCCATCTGCTGGAGCACAGCCTAGCACTTACAAGTCCAGAAGGAATCGATTGACTTTCTTCAAGTATTCTGACTTCAAGTAACCTCCCAGCTCATCCTTTGTAACCCACAGGAAATCTTCTTTCAGTTCTGCCTGGGACAAGTCATTGCTCTGGAGGAAGGCTTTGAAGAAGAAGACTTTGGCTCCCACATTATCCTCAGTCCTGATGGCCCTGGGGAATTTGTACTTGTAATGCCCATACGGTGCATTCCCCAGGAACTTGGCCTGGATACGATCTCCTGCAAGATCCCAGGAAAGCAAGAGAAAGAAAACAAGACATAAGAACACAATGCAACAGTAACTGCTTTGCCTAAATAACAGAAAGGGCACAGGACATGTCTGGTTCAGACTGACTGTTCCTTCTTCCAAGTAGAGATATTGTCAATCACAAGCTTCATTTCATGAAAAATCTGTTTGTCCTGGTGTCCTGCAGGTTGCCTAAAAGTAAGGGAGGTGGGGAAAGAGCAGCAAGCTCTGCCAACCCATCCTGAAAAGAAAGGAGTGCAGATTTGCTAACACCCATTTGCCACAAAAGTGGCTACGAGGTGACAAGAAGAAAAGTGAAGCTGTACCTAGAGCAACCCCAGACCATTCACGAGGCAACTAGTGATGCTTAAGCACCAGGCTGCAGATCAGTCTTGGCACTCAGCTGCCAGGCCGGGTAGCCCCTCGCATACTCAGAGCAGAGTGCAACTCCAGCCCCTTTGCACAGGGCAGCTTCACAACTTGGCTTCCACAGGCCCTTGCCAGAAGCCCCATCACATCAGCTCAGTCCCTCTGCCATGAAATCCCTTTTCACAGCAGATGGGAGATTTTATTACTGAGAATTGCAAATATCCCCAAGTTAGGGCAAAGAAAGAAATAAAACAGGACAAAGAGGAGAGAAAGGCCAGGGACAGAGCAGACTACCCACCCAAGGCAGCAGCCATGGCACGTTCCGCTGTGCTTCGCAGCGTCTCTCCGGGCTGCCATTCTGCTTGAGGCAGGAGCCACAGCTCCTGGTTACCAATTTTCTGTTTCACCAGAAGCATCAGGTTCCTGTCCAGCTTTCTCTCCAATGACGTTCGAATGTTGTTTTTATCAGCATCTGCCAAAAAACAACACACCAAAACAACACACCTGGAAACAGGCTCTCAGCAGGACCCATCTCATCACCATAATCTAACACTTCCCTCCTTCCGACACCCTTCCAACAGTAATACATGCACAAGACTGATCCATAGAACAAGATTAAAATGGAGACAAAGCTCTTGGGACCCCTGGAAGCCCACGCATGATTCCAGTGGAACCCAGTGCTAGACTGCACTTACTTTGAACAAGACTTAAAATCAGCAGTTTGCATTTTCAGTTTGATAAAAATCTGCCACAGCCCTACGCAAGTTTGTAGGTGAAGCTAACCAAAGTTCCTCTGATCTCAAAAGAAAATCCCCTTGCACCACTTGGCAACGTTGTGCCCACAAGCGTATCTTCGCTACACAAGAACAAAGATTCCCCCCAAGCTGGTTAACTCCTCTGGCGCTGACTGTGCTGCCACACGGTCACGACCCTCCTTACAAGCTCATCCGGACAGCGCCGTGGCCGTAGGCTCCCACATCAGGCGCTCCCCCGGCGCGACACGGCGGCTTCGCGCTGTACCTGTTATCCGTGAGGCCGCTCTGAAGCGCTGCAACTTCTGCTCCCACTTCTCCTCCAGGTCCTGAGCCATGATGACGGTTTTGCCAGGTCCTTCGTCATCGTCGTACCCGCTCTCCTTCCTCCTGCGGAGCTGCTCTTCCTCCTCCTGCTTGCGGAGCTCGTGGTCCGAATAGCGGCTCTTCTCCAGCTCTATCTGGGAGGGCAGCACAGGGACCCGCTAGGCCTTGGGCGCCGGCACGGCAGCGCCGTTAGCAGAGCGGGCCGCAGCTTCCCGGGGCCGTGCCAGGACGTCCCCGGCAGGGACC